CAAAATCAACACACCAATAACAATGGTCCGATGATTATGGGGAAGAATGATGACCATTCCAACCAAATCAGAAGACCATTGAACGAACAGAATACACAAAATATAGAACGATCCATAATGAATATGGAAAATTCTATAAAATTATTACACAAATCAAACAAAAGAATATATATAAATGTATATATAAACAAATCACGACATACAAACAAGACTGACTTGACAATAAAAACACAAAATATGACAGTGAAAAGGAAAGAGGAACACTACATATATTAAAGAATATATACCTAGTGACCTCGAATAAAACAATACAACGGAAGAGACAGTACTTAGCAAATGAAAGAATGAAAAATATGGACAAACCAGTAAAAGCAATGTATGTAAGTAAGCAATGAAAAAGTAGGTAACATGTAATACATTTGTGGATCTATAATATATAACAATAGTATCTATAGATAAGTAAATATTGTAAATGAATAAATAACAAAATAGTAGCATAAAAACACAAAGAGCATAAGAAAACGAATGTTATATAATATGTAAGAAATTGTATAGAAATAAAGAAACATAAAAAGTAAGGATAAAATGTAAATAGTAAAATAGTAAAAAACAATTGTTATACCTAATAAAATTGGGAATATAGAAGGAGAAGGAGAAGAAATGAAATGGAAAGATAATATATATAGAAAGAAATGTAACACAAAAACTCACTATTGGAAAATAAAGAGAGGTGTACACTGTTATTATTACCCTAATAAATAATAAGATAAGTAAAATCAGAACAAGTAGAATAGACTAGGACCGGCAATCCCAGCCGTAAGAATGAGAGTGGAAGGACGAAAGAAAGATACAGTATGAGGAATGGAAGAAAGCAAATGCGAGAACTGGAATGAATGTGAAATATAGCGAATAATAAGGGCCTGCTAAAAAGTGGGGACAAGTTAGGAAGCCCGGTCATAGACTGTAAGACCGGGCAATTAAAAAAAAAAAAAAAAAAAAAAAACCCTTAACCCTTAACCCTTAACCCTTAACCCTTAACCCTTAACCCTTAACCCTTAACCCTTAACCCTTAACCCTTAACCCTTAACCCTTAACCCTTAACCCTTAACCCTTAACCCTTAACCCTTAACCCTTAACCCTTAACCCTTAACCCTTAACCCTTAACCCTTAACCCTTAACCCTTAACCCTTAACCCTTAACCCTTAACCCTTAACCCTTAACCCTTAACCCTTAACCCTTAACCCTTAACCCTTAACCCTTAACCCTTAACCCTTAACCCTTAACCCTTAACCCTTAACCCTTAACCCTTAACCCTTAACCCTTAACCCTTAACCCTTAACCCTTAACCCTTAACCCTTAACCCTTAACCCTTAACCCTTAACCCTTAACCCTTAACCCTTAACCCTTAACCCTTAACCCTTAACCCTTAACCCTTAACCCTTAACCCTTAACCCTTAACCCTTAACCCTTAACCCTTAACCCTTAACCCTTAACCCTTAACCCTTAACCCTTAACCCTTAACCCTTAACCCTTAACCCTTAACCCTTAACCCTTAACCCTTAACCCTTAACCCTTAACCCTTAACCCTTAACCCTTAACCCTTAACCCTTAACCCTTAACCCTTAACCCTTAACCCTTAACCCTTAACCCTTAACCCTTAACCCTTAACCCTTAACCCTTAACCCTTAACCCTAGCTCTGAACGTCTCGCCCCCCGAGGTGAACAGTTCGAAAATCGTAACGCTCCACGGTTAAAAATTAACCTTTAACTATGGACGTTACATTTTTGTTACACTAATGGACGTGCGGCCTCACAGACCGCTATTTTTATGTGCTGATTTCTATCTTATTGAGTGTAATTATTGTATAGTTTTTTGTTTTTACCCTTAGACGAGTTATAATGTGTAAATAAAAGATGCAATTTTAATGAAAAATTAATTGATTTAAAACTTAATCTGACAATAGAACAATCAAAGGCACTTTTCAGACTTATGAGCTTGAGATCATTTTGTAGGTAAATTATCACAAGAAAATGACATTGTTCGTTAGTTTAACTTCTTTTAGAATTAAATATAAAAAACTAAGAAGATAAAAAACTAAACACAATCTTCTCAACATTAAACATAAAAATTTCGACAATGGCCCAACTTGGTCATATTTATTGGCAATCTTTGCATAGGTATATTGTTGTTATCTAAACTTTCACTATCCGATCTCCTTACATCGTCGTCAAATGTGGTACTCCTACCACTTTCTTCAACCTCTGATTCACTCGAATGACTTGCTTCAATGCAAGCTACACAAAACAAACAATTATAAACATCCCTATCGCTGTCGCACTGATCCGATTCTAAGATTAATCGTTGAAACTCGTCTTCAAAAGAAGACTCATCCAATCGCAATATTTTACTGGCTCTCTGAGTCAACGAACTCGATGTTTGTTTGCCTGAAGTCAGGATGACCGTTTTGCAACATTTTAGTTTACAAAATCTAAAAGAAACAAAATCACCATCGCCTGTAATATATAGCATAAATGTGGACGCGCGGTCTCACAGACCGCACTCAAAATATAAAACGAAATTATTCACGCAACATTTAGCCGGAGACGTAACTTCCATGCTCAACAGTCGTTTCGCCACAAAAACCGAAGCTACTGAGCCCGGCACACGCGTGGGATACGCAGAAGAAGGTGGGCACGAGAATCACAAACTGCAAGAGGTCTGTGAGACCGCACGTCCATAGTTAAAGGTTAATAAAAGTGGTAAATCCGAAACGTAGAAGGAAGTGTTATATATCAAAAGATAGGTCTCGGCGAGACCTATCCATTGATCCGACGTATCGCGAGTGAAAATCGATAAACAGTGCGAAAAGTTATTCAAGAAAAACACCACGTGTTCGACAAAAAAACAAGTGTTTTTAATAAATAACTCTGTGAATATTCGACGGATTTTCGTGAGCGAAGCGTCGCCAGACGCGCGCTCGCGAGACGCATCGTTGGACACCTTGGGCTCCCCTCAACTCCCCGTGGCTTGAGAGGTATTTGGAAATAACCAAATAACCTCTCGCCACGAGGTACCAGATCCGGGGGACCTGGGGGACCAGCGACAGTGCGGCCACATAGAGCACACCGAGACAAGCAGAAAGAACTGAAGCTCTAAAAAAGAGAATCAGGTTTGCGGTTTCTACGCGATTTTTAAGTTTTCAAACTTCAAAATTCATAGTGTCTGGGGATTGTGGGGAACAGCTCAATTTTATCAGCTACCCGGCTAGACAATCTCCGGACCTATCCTGAAAAAAATCGGCGTCGACGGAGCTGGTCTGCAAGCGGAAAAATCGGCCCGCAAAAATTGGGCCCACTTTTCAGCAGGCTCCAGAGGGCTGATCTTCAAAGGTGGAAGGCTGCAATTTAGATATTAAGTATATAATTGTTAAGACTATACGCAGGTGAAAAATCAGATTTTTATAAGAAATAGTTTTTAAGTTATATAAATTTTCGTTTTGTCCCATCATAGAAAATCGACGATAGATAGGAGCAAACCGACTTCGGATAAGGTCACAAAACACCCTTATGACCATATAACACCCCAAAGCACGGCCCTCTAGCTGCCGTATCAAGAATCCGTGGAAAAGTCGGCCATATTGGCCCGAGCAGGCCGAGTTTTAAACCGCAAATAACTTCGCGGTTTTGAGTGCAATTTGAACGCGGTTTTCGATCCACAGACGAGTGAGCCCCCCTCTTGCCATTTCCAAAGTCAAAATTCTAAATTTCCAAAATTTGACTTTTTTCAAAAATTTCGGCCCCAAAAATTTTAGATTCCAAATTTGGAACGGGATTAGATCTCTGTCCCCCCATCCTGACATCGAAATCCCCGCGTTTCTGCGACGCGAATTGACCGAGATATAATTTTCCAAAAAGTGGTCGGCCATCTTGGTTCGGCCATTTTGGAAAATTTGGAATCCCTGTATCTCGGTCAATATCGGGCCTAGGAGACCGGGACTTCGACTCAAGTCCCTACCCCATTCCCCTCTACATATCTCATAGGGTGGAATTCAAATTGGACGGGTCGAACTCAACCCTCCAAGTTTGAGATTGCTTCGGCAAGATCCCACCCTCCCACCACCTCCACTCCAAGCCCCAACTTCGTGCGGCCAATAGGACCGGAGATATAGCCCTCCAAAGTCGGTGGGATAAGCTTATCCCAAAACTTTGAAGGGCTGTAGCAGCCGTACCACTGGTCGTAGAGGAAAGGGGTTTCCTATACCTACTACCCCCTGCCAAGCCCTACCAGACCCATAGGGTGAATCACCCCTATCTCAAGGTCGAGGGAAAATACCAACTGACCCCGGAAAAAGGTGCGGCAGGATCCCCTCCATCCATTCCCAAAAAATCCCCGTTCCACACGACCGATAGTTTCGGAGATATCGGCACTCGTCCCTTTCGGGCCGAGTTTTTTGGCGATTTAAATTAAAAAATCTGGAAAAAATTAACAACGAAGCAATAAAACATACCATAAAAGACAATACAAAATTCATGACAATATATGTTCATATATAAATAAAAATCTGACTTTTGTTTTGACTTTATTTTATTTACAAACCTACTTAGAATTAAGTTTAATTTGACAACGTACCCTATTGGGACGTGTCTTAGTATTAAGTTCTGACACTGACGCATTGAGCTAGGCTCTGCAATTAATACATAACATACACATACATATAAACAACAAAACACTAACATACAACAATACACAAACAGTAAAACTCTTGGCTACACACAACACACAACACATACACAAACATAAACACACACATAAACCCATAGACACACAACACATAAACAAAACATTACTCACAAACACGCCGATAGGAGGACTGCAGTTGATCTGCCGGCATCTGAAACAAACAAAACACACATAAATTATACATACACACAAACACACAAACAACAATAACGACATAATAAAGAACTTGTCCCCACCACTATAGTAAAATCAAAATAAAATGAACAAGGCACAGAAACCTACAACCACAGGAAATCCAAGACACTCAGACACCTCCTCTCCATCATTCAAAGAAGACAAGATGGACGAGTTTAAAAGAAAACTGATAGAGAGTATAGAGACCCAATCAGCGTCGGATTACATGGTAAGACTCGTGGACCTACTAAGTGACATCCCAAAGCTGATATATGGCGGTATGAAGAAGGAGGTAAAAGAAAATCTCGAAATGACGGCAAAAACCGGCATCACCCTTGTAATCGAAATGAGCAAGGAGATCAAAAAAGATAGCAACATCATGGTGCTGTTAAAGGGAAGATTAAATGTGGCAGAACAACTGGACCAAATAAATGCAACAATGAAGGAGGAACTTAAAAAGATAATGGAGAAAATGGAGAAACAAGAGGAAGAATTGATAAAGTACAGAGAAGAAAAAAGAAGAAGCAGAGAAGATGAAGAATCCGTAACAACAAAATTCCTAAGAATGATCGACTATAAATTGGAAAATATAAAAAGCAGAGAAGAGGCCCTGTTCGACAGATTCTCGGATAGAACCCTAAAGGATAATGAAATGTCAACGGCGATCATTACCAGAAAATTGGACACTATGGAAGAGAATTTGACAGCGGAAACAATTGAACTGGAAAGAAAGATAGTAAATAGGCTGGGAAGGAAAACGGATATGGAAGAGAGTATGAGAAACGAAATCAACACCAACATAGAACAGCAGATAAAAGAGACAGGGAGGGAAATGACCCTAGAAATAACAAAAACCATCGACACGGTACTGACGGATTGCATGCAGGATATCCAGAACACCATTACATACGGAGGAACTGCACCCGAAGGTAACAAGGAGATACTGAATGAACTGGGCAACCTTGAAGCCAACCTAAAGGAGACGTTAATAGATACAAAGGAAGCTATTACTGGAAGTATCACAAAGACAATAGAAAGGGTAACATCAAAGGAAAGCATAACACCGGTGGAAACACAGGAAACAAGCACATACGCAGACATAGCCAAAGGCAGAAACAACCGAAGACCAAAAACGATGCACTCGATCCTCATCTCATCGAAAAACCAAAACGATATGGCAGAAGATATAATTAATAAAACCAAGACAATACTGAAACCAATAGAAAACGGCACACAAATAGAAAGAATAAGGAAAGTAAAGGATCAAAGAATAGTAGTTAGTTGTAGAGAGGAACAAGAAATTGAAAAATTGAAGGAAAGAATAAATGAAAGTGAGGAGTTGGAAGCTGAAAAGGTAAGAAATAAAAATCCTCTCATAATGATAAAGGAAGTAAAGTATAAGATGACGGATGAGGAGATTGTATCGGCTATAAGAAGACAGAACCCGGATGTGTACATGGATGACCAGGAGGAAGATGACTTCAAGATTAAATACAGACGCAGGACAAGGAACACCGAAAAATGTCACATCATTGCACAGATAAAACCTGCGTTCTGGAAAAGAATAATAAAAAAGGGGCATTTATACATTGAAATGGAGAGGGTGAGGGTCGAAGACCAGACCCCCCTCATACAGTGTACACGATGCCTAAATTTTGGACACGGAAGAAAATTTTGTCAGGAAAGTGCGGACAGATGCAGCCACTGCGGGGGGCTACACCTGCGGGCAGAATGCCCAGACAGAAAAGCAGGAGTCCCACCGCAGTGCTGCAACTGCACGCACGCTGAATTACCGGACGTTAATCATAATGCATTTAGTAACAACTGTAAAGTCAGGGAGAAGTGGGATAGCCTCGCCCGTTCCACAACCGCATACGACTGAGGACATCACTAAACAATACGAGAACAAAGAAAACACACACTCAAACACAACACAAACACTGAACAAAAAACACATACACAAAAATCAGACAACACATACACGAAACAATGAATCGACTGGAATGATGATCATTCCAATCAATTCATCAAGACAAAACAAAGAACAAAAACATAAAGTAAAGCATCATGAAGATGTAAAACTTCATGTAGACATAAAACACAACGAAATAAACAAAAGAATACATATAAACTGGACATAACTAAACAAATAAGAATAATAAAAATAAAAATCGAAAAGAAAGAGGATCACTATATATATTTAACTATATATCAATAGTGACCTTAAAGAAGGGAATAACAAAATAGATATATCAAAAGGAACGAATACATAGGATGGGACAAAAGAAAACAAAACAAATAGGAATCATAATTAGGATAAGGAAATAATTAGAAAGTTAATATGTAAGAATAATAGCACGAAAAATAGAACATAAAGGAAGTGTAATCAACGAAAAATATACCTGTAAGCTCACATAGGAATAAAAAATGTAAATAATATTAGCACAAGTAAATAATAAACTGAAATAGAATAAGCATGCAAATAGAATAAGAAAACAACAAGAGAGGTAGAAAACTTAAGATTGGAAAGAAATGTAATAGCAGTAAGAAACAAAGAAAATGTAATAGAAATAAGGAGGAATTAATTAAAATAAGACAATATTATAGAATAGTAAATCATGTAAACTAGAATAATACCCTGAAATATAAACATACTTGTAAACCTTAATAAAGAAATAGATAAAGGACAATACAAAATACAAAAGACCAAGAAAATGTAACAAAAAAAATAAATAGGATAAGAAATTGTAATTAGAGTAAGAAATATGTAACTAGAGTAAGATTTTAAAAGAAAATAAAAACAAACTGCGTATGTGTTAAACCCTAACAATAAAGAAATAGAAATAAATAAAGTATATAGAATAGACAGAATAGGACCGGCAATCCCAGCCGAAAGTATGAAAGAAGAAGAAAAAGAGAAAGATTAAGTATGCTGAATGAAAGTTAGAACAAAAGTGAGAACTGGAATGAAAGAGAAATCTAGAGAATTATAAGGGCCTGCTATAAAGTGGGGACAAGTAGGAACGCCCGGTCATAGACTGTAAGGCCGGGCAACAAAAAAAAAAAACCCTTAACCCTTAACCCTTGACCCTTGACCCTTGACCCTTGACCCTTGATCCTTGACCCTTGACCCTTGACTCTTGACCCTTGACCCTTGACCCTTGACCCTTACCAATTAAAATAATAGAGTAAGTAATATTAAAAAGAAAAAATCAGGACTAGACCAAGAAAATAAAGAGAAGAGTTAGAAAAATAATACATGTGATGAAAAGTCTCCGAGAAGTAACAAATGGTAAAACTTTAAAAATGGTGTACATGGCCCTCTGTCAATCGATACTGAACTATTGCATTTTGGCCTGGGGCGGTACTTTAAAGAGTATTCTCATTGTACTAGAGAGAGCACAAAGAGCGGTGCTAAAAACCGCTCTTTTCAAAAGTCGACTCTATCCGACCATATTGCTCTATCATGAGGCTGGTGTACTGAGCGTGAAGAAGTTGTTTTTATATTGAGTAGTAATTTTTGGTCACAAAGAAGTTGTAGCATCAAGCCAATATAAATCACTACTCAGAAAATCAGTTTTTAAGATACCATAACATGTGATCAAAACTACCTTTGCGCAGCGTTTCAGACCTTTTATTTTCCCACACATTTACAATAAGCTTGTTAACACCCTTCAAATTAAAAATAAATCGGTCAGGGGAAATAAAAGTACTGTTGCCCGGGAAGCTTCTGGAATTTGACCATAAGGATACTGAAAATCTGTTGAGGATCCAAAAGTAGCTATAACGATCTTACTTATAAAAGTAGAATAAAAAATACTGATTATAATGTAGTGTTTAAGTATATAATGTAATGAAGTAGGGAATGTCATATATCTGTTGTGCTGTAACTGTAACTGGTACAAAGCCCGCCACAGGTCAGGCTTAGCCTAGTGTGGGGGCCAGAATAATCATGTAAATGAATATGAAATCTTTTTGGGAAAAATAAATAAATTTATTTAATTTAATAAAATTTATTTATTTATAAAATTTATTTAAATTTATTTAATTTAGAATAAGGAAAGTAAAATATATGTAAATGTAAAGAGAAAACAATAAAGAAAACGAATGTCCATTATTCAATAAAAACTAAAGATAAGAAAAATATTAGCTAGAAATAGAGATAGATGTGTTAATCCCAGTCACTCGAAGAATGAAAGAGACGTTAGCCTAATATACTAACCTGCTAAATCCATTTTTTGGGCATTTTGACTTTTTGATCCAGTCAGAAAGTTTAGACGATTATCTACCTTTTGGTAACGGAATAAAGTCGACATCAATCTTATAAAGCTCAAAATGCCATGCACGAAAACCTGCTATTATCCCACTAGCAAAACTACACACTGCAAACCTGCTAAATCCTGCCGCGGGTTCAGTTTTGTACGGACAATGTGGCGGTAACCACGTGCTTGATATTACGCTTGAGGTTATACCTGGTTTATGGTCATATTTAGCAGTTTATAGTTACGAAACAACTAAATAATATCCAAGGTAAGTTTGTTTTGCTTTATCTCAAAGTGTTTTTTGTCATTGAATGGGGAATTTAAGTGTTTTAACCCAAATAATTTCCTAACCTATACAATAAGGACTTGGCAGTTTTGCATCTTTTGGTGTCTTACTAGAAAATGGAGTTAGCTGTATAACAGTTTTATATTTTTGATTAATAATTATGACTAGAATAATAAGGATTCTTTACTTACAACTTATTTATTATTATAATGAGTGTATGTTGTCTCACTGCTGGCTAAGGCCTCTTTTTTGGCTTTACAATACAAACATCTCCACTTATAGCGATGTTTTGCCAAGATGGTTTTAACAGATCTATAAAATCATTCCATATTTTTATTTGTAACTTGTAATAAGTAAAAAAAAAATGCATATTTTCAGAATGTCCCGGGGGAAAAAAATACTAGACTTAGCTTTAACTTTGGAGTCATTGGATTCATCGGAGTCAGAGTCAAAATATTATGACCCAAATAAGGTAATACACATACTTGAAGATATTCAAATACAGCCGCCACTGGAAAAAGGACCAGATAATTCAGAGTACAATCCAAATATAGCTGTACATGTTAAAGAAGATACTCAATTACAGTATATAGAATTAGAAACTATACCGGATAATTTAAATTACTATACAAGTAAAGAAGGCTACGTTTCAGAGGATATTATTTTACAACACCAACAAGAAAATACACCAGATAATTCAGAAGGCAATCCAAATCAAGCTGTCCAAGTTCTAGACGACGTTCAGTTGCAGTATATAGAGTTACAAAATACAGCAGATCTGTCTCACAACTCAGTGTATGATGTTGATAATGACAACGTTCTAGTTACGAATGAAAACTTTATTGTGATACCATCACAATTTGAAATTGACCCCCAGAAAACAGCTAATGAACAAAATCAGTATCCACTTGAAAATATTTCTAACATTACAAATAAAACTCCAAGTATTCTATCTTTAAACAATGAGTATACTAGTCCTGTAAAAAGCATTGCCAACCTTGACCCTAGTCATCATCATATTGTGCCCGATCCGCCGATATCAGATGATAGTGATAAAGGCGAGAAACTTGTTCCATACTCTGATTCGGACTCAGATTCTCTTTCTGAAATAAATAAAAGTAATAAACGAAGAAAAAGGTTCGAAGTTGATAAAAAGGAATGGTTTGCAGAAAAGAATAAAAGAAGACGAGAAAGTGGTAAAAGCTATTTTGGGAGGGATAAGAACGAAGATTACTCAAAGAATACTAAACCAAAAGCCGCTCGTTCACTGAAACCTAGATGCTCTTGTAGGTTAGGAAAGTATAGTACTTTAAAATGTGCAACCATCAATGAAGTCGCAAGACAATTGGTTTTTGAACAATTTTGGAACTTAACTTGGGGAGAAAAAAAGACACTCATTAACGAATGGGTAACCATGACTGAAACAGTCCGACCACGAAATCGAAAGACCAAAGAATTAACAAAGAGAGCTAAATCATTTTTATATAGTTTGAAAGTTAATAATGAAAGCATCAAAGTATGTCGAACGATGTTTTTGAACACCTTGGATCTCGGGAGATGGACTGTTCAAAATTGGAAGAAGAACTTTTTATTGCAACCTCCTAGTATATTGAGACGTCACAGACAATCATCTGAACCAATGATTTCAAAGCCCAAAGAATCACTTATAAAATTTTTGGAATCTCTACCTGTCATGGAATCGCATTATTGTCGGGCTACATCTCAAAAGCTGTATTTGTTGCCAGAATGGAAGTCCAAAGAAAGCCTATATCAGTTTTACGTTGACAATTGGTGCAAGGAAAAAAACGTAAAAGCACTGTCTATATGTGCATTTTCTAATGCATTTGAGAGTAAAAATTTGGGCTTGTTTCGACCAAAAAAAGACCAGTGTGAAAAATGTGCCTGTTACAAGGTAGGGACAGTTTCAAGAGAACAACACATGGCACATATTGAGAAAGTTAAACAAGCTAGAGAAGAAAAAGATCAAGATAAAAATGGAGACAGCTACGTTTTCACTGTGGACTTACAGGCAGTATTGATGGCACCTAAATCAAATGTCAGTACACTGTATTATAAAACAAAGCTGCAAGTATACAATCTTTGTTTTTTTAATTTAAAAAACAAAGATGGTTTTTGTTTCATATGCAACGAAGTTGAAGGCGGATTAAATGCTGAAGAATTTGCTTCTATTTGGGTGGACTTTTTGGAAAACAAAGTCATTGCTGAAATTGCTGAAAACGAAAACAAAACAATTATTATATACAGTGACGGTTGCACATACCAAAACAGAAATTGTATTTTATCCAACGCTCTTTTAAACATTGTTATGAAGCACAAAAATATAACTATAGAACAAAAATTCTTAGAGGTGGGTCACACCCAAATGGAAGCAGATTCGATGCATTCTACTATAGAACGCTATCTTAAAGATAAAGATATAAATGTGCCAGCTGAATACGTATCGATCGCAAGACATGCCCGAAAATGCCCAGCACCTTACTATGTACAATATTTGTACCACAAGTATTTCAAAAAATTTGACAATATTCAATTTTATAAAAGTATTCGACCAGGTATATCCAAAGGCGATCCTAAAGTGACTGATATCCGAGCTCTTCGTTACGAAAGCGTTGGATCCGTTCTCTATAAAACTTGGTATAAACATGAATGGCAACCTTTACCTCAAAGGAGGTCTTTACAAGTTCATCCTTGCGAAGTTAGTAATTTATCCCAATTGCATCAAAATCGACGGAAAATCACTCTCCGTAAGTTTCAGGACTTGCAGGAAATTAAAAAAACGCTCATGTCTGACTATCACAAGTATTACGATGATTTACCTCATGAATAAGATGCCTATTTATTATTCTTAGAGGAATATTTTTGTTTCAAACTATTTTTAGAAGATTTTTTTGTTTTGAGAACTTGTTTTATTTTGAACTGATTTTGAACTATTAATTATATTAAGACTGAAACCACAAGACTGTGAGTAGATAACACTGTAGAATAGATACTAAGAATTGTTTCAAATGTTTTAGTTTTAATATTGTTCTTGAAAGGCATCTATATGATACAAATACTGTTCCTTACTTGGTTGCATTACATTTAATAAAAATATAAATTTGATTTAAACAAAAATTTTATTTGTATTAATTACACCTGAACTGGTAGGAAAAACTGCCACGTCCTCAAATAAATTGAAATTCGAGTATGAAAAGCTGCTAAATGGCTGTTTTCCTAATTTATTTTAATAACAATCAACATAGTCCAACATCATTACTTGCAAAATAAAAAGAACCGATAGGGAAACCAACAGGATTTTCAAAATTTTGATATCTGGAACTGAAAAGGCAAAAATCAATTTTTTATTTCTCCTGAAAACTATACTAAAATGGATTTAGCAGGTTAGTATATTAGGCTAACAGAATGAAAGAAAGATCAGGAATGCGGAAAGAAAGGTGTAAAAAAGCGAGAATTAGAATGCAAGAGAAACAGATTAATAAAAGCCTGCTCAAAAGTGGGGTGCAGTCAGGAAGCTCGGCCAATTAAAAAAAATAACCCTTAACCCTTAATCCTTAACCCTTAACCCCTTCATGTGTATGCGACCCCCAAGAAAAACAGGACATGTTCCATGTCTTGCTAGATAAAGATAGATACACTTTACAGATGCACTCAAACACTAACCTCAGCAGGGATAATCTAGCAGAAACAATGAATAGTAATGAAGATAGGGCCAATTTTATTAAATACGCATATGTAATTATAAGAAAAACAGACGAAATGAATAAGGACTGAATGATATAAAATAGATATAGAGATATAAGTAACATAATGTATTGGATACGATGTAAAGTGTAAAATGTAAAACAAGCAATGTAAAACAATAGAGAAATTGTAACTAGTCACAAAATAAGAGAATGAAAATAAAAAATGTATAAAAATGTGTATTAAGAAAAATAGAACATAGATAGAAATAAGAATGTAATAGAAAATAAGAAAATGTAAATATAAGACCTAAAAAAAGGCAAGGGAAAAAGAACGTTCCTAATGGGTAAATAAAATACCCATAAAAAAGAAAAAGAAGAAGAAAGTAAAGAAAACAAAGCAAAAAAGTTGGCCTGCAACTGAGTGGGGAAACCTGTTTTTAAAAAAAACCCTTAACCCTTAACCCGATAGTACATTCGTTAATATATTAATGCAAATAACATACATACATATTTAAGTTTACAGTATAGTACCTCGTTATTGTTTTTTAAATATTTTTGAGATTTATTGTATTCTTTACTTGATCATGCAGTTCATTAATCAAACATGCAAATCGTTTTGCCCCATACAGATTATTATACCTCGGAATCACAAACCTCTTTGATGGAGATCGTTATTACTGAAATAATTTTCAACTAATACTGCATAATCCAATTCACAATTAAAATCCCAGATTTAATTAAAACATCCAAAGCAGGTGTCTATCAACCAATACTTTCCTTACCATTCTTTGCTTACAAATTAACCTTACAGCCACTTTAATATGCTATTTATTGAAAACTGCCTCTCTCCGTCAGGAAGAAAATCTGTTCATTTACTACCCAAAGCTTATAAAACAATTATTACCCTAACTATATTAGTCGGTGGATTAAGAGCACATTAGAAGACTGTGGTATTGACGGCTCCGTGTTCACAGCTCACAGCACCCGACATGCCTCCACCTCTAGAGCTTACCAAAAGGTATCAATATTGACATCATCCGGAATACTGCGGAATGGAGTGGCACATCCACGACATTCGGTCAGTTTTATAAAAGAATTATAAGAAACATAAGTGATCAGAATAGCTTAGCCAGAGCAGTCTTTAACTATGACTGATTAATAAGAATATTAACTTATTATTGTTATTTATTATTTTCTTAGTTTGACTACTATTAAATTGTAATAAATAATGTAATTTTTTCTTATTATATTAAACTATAATTAAATTAAATAAAACATTATGGTGATTATAAAAAAATGATGTTTTATTATTCTAGTAGATAGAACAGTCTCAGTGATATCACTGAAACACAAACTCTTAACCTCTACATGCTGTGTATACTAATATATTAATTTCAGGTTACTTATCTCGAGGACGAGGTGCGAGTATAATTATGACAGACCTTCGCTCGGTGAGTTAGTTTAATCATCAAGTAAACTGTACAACTTTTTAGACAAATTAGCATTCTTAATCGCAGTAATTTACATATCGTGAATTTCTTGCTATTTTCTTCCCAAAAACATCAATGAAATACGAAACAGAATCAATGAAAACATAACACTTAAATGTTAAGAGAAAGATCCATGAAATAATTACAAAATTTTCAACCACGCCGTTCATTGAATAGGTATCCAAAATACTTACAATTCTTAAAAACTTCAAGGCCGAGACAAACAAATTCAAGAAACTCAATTCGTGTTTTGAATATGATTTTAATTTTAAACGATGGTTTTCTAGAGAAAATTGTTTATTTCAGTCACTGTTCTGAAAATTCTGTCTACATAAACTAAACATCTGCACTAATATTCTTAGTTTTCTTCTGTTCATTGTCATCCGTAGCAACCATTTCGTATTCTGGAGGATTGTTCCATTCAGCCAGTTCTCCGGTTCCCAATGCCAGATATACTATGTTTGTGAAGAAATACAATCCAGCGGCAACAAAGAACACCTTTCTCCACAATAAAATATCCGACTGGAAGCAAATAATAGATTAATTATTATTTTAATACATCAATTTTGTTTAATTCTACAAAATTCAGCTTCAACGAAATTCAAAGCTATATTTTTTCTGTAGGCTAGTTAACTACTTTTTTTTTATTTAAATATGAAAACATACTGGGCAATCTTTATTATTTACGCATGAATGTATAGGTATATAGTATGTTTATTGTTTGTGATAATAAAAGTTGTTTTATGTAAAAAATTCAATATATTTTGGCAAATTATAACTATTTAGTTTTAGTTTTTAAAGCGTAATATTTGTCGAATTATCCGAATAAAAAAAATCCGAACGTTAACAGAAACCTGTAGTTTCACTTGTAGGGCACATCCCTAAACAATCATGGGGCTGTCATGAGTCAGTCATATTGCTACTTAAATGTTTGTTTTAGTCACTCTCCTGAAAGTCAGGAGAGTGCCTGACACAAACGTCTCAGTCAATACAAATCAGGAGAAAGAGGAGGAGGAGCGCAATTTCATACACGATAAGGGTGACTCCCAACAAACTATTAACTTAACATCCAAATCAATCCTTTTCATAATTAAAATTTTGAATAACATGAAAATATGTTCTAATAAATGTTAAATTCACAGTGTTTTATTAACGTGAGTTTATTGTATCCCAGTATCTGCTGCATGTGCTGGTGATGATATATATTTTAGATTACTTACAGTGTCAGTCAAAATGAATCCAGCCACGATAGGGGCCAGTGAACCAAACATATTTGATATAAAATTACTGATGCTGATCATCGTGCCGGCAAAGTTAGGAGAAATGTCCACGTGGTTCACCTGATGAAAGATGATGTAATTAGTGAAAAATGTATGTTTATAAACTTACAATCGTCGACTAGTAGATAAGAGTAGATTACATTAGTTGACCGGAACTTGAAAAACATATCAGATCAAAATTGGCTTAGATTTAAAGACTGTTAGGAATTATGTTATTGTATAATAAGTATTCAATGGCTTCACAAATATTGCTTAGATCCCAAACTCAGTAGCTGCATTATGGAAATCTGAAACAATGATGGTAGCAACTCTTCCAGACCCAATATTAAATGGAAAAACGTTCATTTTCTACATTAGCTTGACTTAGAATTGAACCGCAAAGATACCAACATTTTGAAATAGGTATCTGAGCCACTTAGCCGTGGAAGTCAATAATTATATTGAAATATATCTTTTCTGCTCGTTAGTAGCTCGGTGGCGTAGACGATAAGCGTCGCGGCCCGCGATAGTTGTTGTTAAGCAACTTTCGCAAGGGTCGGTCACGGGATGGGTGACCAAATAATTATTATCTCGAGTTACTTCGTGCTTTGGAAGGCATGTTAAGCCGTTGGTCCCGGCTGCATTTGCAATCATTAATACCCTCCAATGGCCCATCCTCCTTAACCATCCACAAGGAAGGCCTGAGCCCCTGCAGTGGGGACGTAAAAGGGCTGATGATAAAATAAATAATAAATAAATATTTAACAACATCACATACATTGCTCAGATTCCAAGATGAGTAGCTAAAGCCCCTGTATTATGGAGTATCTGAGACAACGAAGGTACCACAACGCCCAGACCCGAGTCAATATAGAAAAGTTCATTTTCTACATTGACCCGACCGGGAATCGAACCCGGGACCTCAGAGATGGCGACACCTTGAAACCGGCGTGCGAACCTTCATAGAGAGGTCGTGTTACACACGTAGTATCTGTTGGAGTGGTCAATGTAGCTCGCTAACGCTCACGACATCTCACCAGAGGTACATGGGTATTAGGAATAAGTTTAAAGTAGTGAGTACTATTGTACAAAAAAGAAACTTGCAAAATAATGTACAAAAGAAATTTAACTTACATGAAAACCGACAGAAGAAGCTATTTTGAAAGCACAAATCAACACTAATAAAGACTCAACTATATATATATTTTTCGGTGCATATGCAAGTGCAATTAGTCCAATTGCTGATGGAAAACAACCTGCCAATAAAGAAATATGATTAAAAATACTATAACAATAAACTACTATACAACTAAACGACTTATTTCAAAGTTGATTGTAAGTACCTAATGAATTTGCAAGTTTTCTGGCTTGAGTGACGTTGAGATACTTCTTGACGATCAGCATGTCTGTCATCCAACTGAAGAAGAAATTTGTGAACCACATCACTAAGAAAGGTAACGCAGTCAACAAACCATTCTGTGGATAAAACAAGAGTTACATGATAATAATAATGGGTTTCTTTCATGTAAATGTTAGGAAAGACAACAAAATTCTTACCGCTTTTATATTGACCCCCATTACTTTGTCCATGTATGACGGTATTTCAGTGAATAACGTTAACTGTCCCCAAGTATTACCAATGTGAGCGACAATTATTGCTAGCATACCAGAGCTACCTAATATTTTCTTCCATGGGACTGGTAAAGTTTTCTGAAAAACAAAATATCACAAAGTATAGTTATGGATTCGTAAAGATACACATTAACTAATTTTTAATATTTAGGTCAAAAAAAAAAGAGAGGAACCGAAATAATTTCCCCGAGGAAAAATTAAATCAGTAAAATAAAACTTTATGAAAAATTACTTTTATGAGTTAATCAGTTAGTTGATAAAATTTCTTGCTTGCTCTTTCATTCTTAGTTACTATTATAAATAAATACCATTTTGGCATTTTTTCATTTTTCATTTCTTCTCAATGTGCATTTTATCGTTTATCCACCTTTTAAATTAAAAAATGAATGGTTTCATACAATCATTAAAACTTATTTTATTAATGTTTCAAATTTGATAAGGATAACAACAATATACTTTTTGGATATGATACAGGAAGAGAGGGTAGATATTTCAGCACATTGCGGGTTAGCCTAATTTATTGAAGAACCAAAAACTTATTGAATTTGGTAAGCTAACCTGGCCATTCGTTTGTCCTAAAGCTTCCTCAATGTACTTTCTCTCATCAAACGAAATCTTCTTGTGCTGAGCAGGCGAATCAGCATGAAAGAGCCACAGGAAGATAGCAATCGTTCCCGAAAGTAACCCGTAAAAACGAAATATCCCTGGCCACCCCAAATACGAGGACGCAATAAACCCAGTAATAGGTAAACCAAACACGGTTCCGATCGCTTGACCTGAAAAAGTCCCTAGGTTTATAGTCAACTTATGGAATTACATATTTTATAAATCTTCTCTGATAATTTATATTTCTTTAAGTACCTTTCGCCAAAACGAGAAAAGCAGTTTTTATTACTTGTATTTTATTGATGTCATTTTTAAGTTATATTCTTTAGTGGTATATGTTGTCACTGCTAATACAAGTAGAATATCAATGCAATGGATAATTCTAGAAACAGTGCTGAAATCTGTATGACATCACGCACCAATGTCAATATCTCTTCGGATTTGCCTTTAGTACGCATGCAGTGACATTTTTAGTCAACTGTATGTACATTTTGTATAACACGATGTAGGTAAGATACTTGTATATTTCTAAAAATTGCTAATAAATACGAAAAATACATAAGTATGTTTAATGTGATAAAAAAAAAATCTTTTAACCCGTATATCTTTTTTTCAACGTGGATTTCAGTATCTCTGCCATACATTAGAAAATTATATATCACTCAAAGTGCTACAATACTTAAACCGATTTGCTCATTTGTTTTTTTCAATGTTATTAGTCTAAACAAAACTTATTTATATATTATATATCAATCTTCTTTAATTTTAGGTCAATACCTCCATATACTATTGCAGTCAAGCGGCCGCGTTCTTCAAGAGGTGTCCACTTTCCGAAGAAAGTATGTAAGCCGGGAATAATGCAAGCTTGACTTACACCCTGAATGACCCTGCATAGCACGGCAGATATCCAACCTCCCTGAAAAGTAATATCGTATAAAGATAAATTATTATAATATGTGCTACGCCCAGGATTCGCGAATTAACTTGGTGAGAATATTCAAGAAAAACTTCAACAAAAATTGATTATTTGGCTCCAGTAAAGGATAGAAACACTAATTCGTTTCTGTGGTTATTGCTTTTGTTTTTATTTTCGCGCTACTTATCTATACCTAACGATGAATTTACCCTAGCTGGATATCTTATATTAGATACAAAAAACTATTTCTTATTAGAATACAAAAACATGTGTTTTTATTGTCATTTACTTCATAAAAGATGAATTCTATTTCTAACAAAATAGTTTATTAATGTATACCTCAATAAGTCACAATATGTTAAATATTGATAATGCACTTACATAATAAGTAACAATTGGCATGATTATTGGTATGATACAGTTGACCAACATGCACCCGACAAAAAGACGACGTGTACCGAATCTATGTGCAATTTGTCCAGCTGGTATCTGCATCGCCATGTATCCCCAAAAAAATGATGACAATATCACATCTTTAGTTTTATTCGTCCATTTGTATTTTGGAAACTGAAAAATATAATAGTTCTTTATTTGCAGACTAAGCATATGTAACAAAGAGACGTAAACGCAGTGCAGTAATGTATTATAATGTACGTGCATCGTGTTCGTCGACACATAATTGTAAGGATGTAATGTAATAGGATTGGATGGGTGTAGTGATGCTCGTGTATAATAGTGATAAGCCACAATAGTCTGATCCAAAGTATTATTTCTTTTTTTTGTTGTTATTAAAGTTTCTTTAACACCATCAGTAAAATTACATTTCAAAAAAGTATGCGCTCAATTTTATTTGGTTGAATAATTATATTTAAAATAAATTGAGGAGCTGGTGTGATATGGTTCTTAAGCAACCTTCGCATAGGCCGGTCATAGAATGTATGACTAAAATATTTGTTATCAGCAGTTCCTCAGTAATTAAAAAGGCTCGTTAAGCAGTTTGTCCCGGCAGAATCTGCAGTCGTTAATACCCACCAATCCGCGTGGTGCGTGGTGGGTCATGGCCCATTCTTCCCATTCGGTTTGATTCCATCTATAGGGAAGGCCTGAGCCTCAGCAGTGACATTAATACTCGTAGATAGTTGATAATCATTAAATTTATCATACTCCAAATTTGATAGAAAATATTGTGATAAATATAATATAAGTCACAATGAGAAGGTTTATGCTACTGAAATAAGGCCCATTAGTTTTCCATAATTGATGTTTAACCTTCACTCAAAATGGGCTCTTAGTTATTTAGAATGGGTTAATACGAGAGATATATTAAATGACTAGTGGACGCCCGCGACTTCGTCCGCGTGGAAGTCGGTATCCCGTGGGAGTGAGAAGTTTTCCCAGTAAAAAGTACCCTATGTGTTATTCTGATGTATAACCTATATTGCTGTAAAGTTTTATCCAAATCCGTCCAGTAGTTTTTTCGTGAAAGAGTAACAAACATCCATACATCCATACTTACAAACTTTCGCCTTTATAATATTAATAGGATGGTTTAGAGGTTTCAATCAGCAATTGGTTGGTACCAACGGAGAATCCATTCTATATCTTGCCACTATTCTGAGTACCTACCTAACGAATGATATTAAGGTGTTACACGATATTTTAATCTGATCTGTTTTGAAATGTAAAAAGATTAAATTAATAATGTTTATAATTGGGGAAATATTAGTAAAGAGTGACCCACACGGTCGCAAACCAATGTTCCAACAGAGGTAATCTTGCTCGTTTCAATCCTCTAGATGGTAGTAGTAAAAGAGTTCAAACACAATCCGCGGTTCTAACCGAGGTCCTCTTTCTTTGGAACACTGGTTTGCAAACGTGTGGATCATGCTTAAAGAAGATAATCAACATGTCAGAATATACTTACTGGCGGTGTTAACATCAAGGCATTGAAAAACCCATTCACTTCAAAATCTTCTTCGGTGTTAATTCCAATATGACTCTTGTCGACTATATATTCAGTTCCATTTGTTATGTCTTGAGTGTCGTTATGTTTGCCTATACCGATTTCTTTCTGAATCATTGCAACTAGCGCCACTCCCATACACGACCTCATGCTGTACGCGATAGTCAAGGTAAAAAACATTATGAGACATTGTGTATGTCTGACGCCCCAACGTGAAACTGGAAGAGTAAATTGAAAATAAATAAAAGAATAAAAACATAGTATACTATGTATAGAGAAATAATATATTAATAGAATAGAGCTGAAAGAAATTTTGGTTTGCTTTGATTTTATAAAGATTTCGAAATATAATCATTGAGAATTTTATTGCATTCGTACGTTACCTTACTTTTATCACTAATGGCGGACGACATTTGCTATGATTTACGTGGACGAAGTCAAGCTATCACTAAAAATTAATTGATTCAAACTAGTAATAACTTTCAAGTAAAAAAAAAAATGTTTTAATGAAAAGAACTAAGAATGTGAAGAAAATCAGTCAATCTCACCATTAAAATTTGCTGTTGGATTCTCCACAGGATTATCAACAGCCCCGTCATTTTTTATATCAGTCATATTATACAAATTCAAATGCAATTAAATTTCGACACCAACATCACACTTTACTTCATCAGATATTGTAATAATACGAGTTGTAATAGTTATAGTCCTGTAATTTTATTTTTATCTTATACAAATAGTTCTGGTGCTACCGCTTAGTCTAGTCAAATAATGCTATCTTAATTGTTTTCTCGTTGTCGAAGATATATTGCCTTTTCTACAGCTGATACATTTTCTAATCTCTTATGCGATACATTTACAAGTTTTAACTGATTTTTATATTGCGCGTGTAACATAAAAATCAGCAATTTTTTTTTTTATTGTTGGTTAGGTGTGGTTAAGGGCTCCAATTTTTCCGCACTTAGACGCTCTAATCGGTCCATCGTGCGTGAAAAGTTGGCTGTCTTACTCTAGTCAACACAGTTTCAGTAAATTCTAGAATGGTGTGAGATATGATTTTTTTTTTCTGTTGACATACACACCCTGCACAGAAAGCTGTCGGTGATACATTTTTACTAATATAATTAATAAGGTAAAAAACTCACCAGGAAATTCATTCAATATTTTTTTCTTTTTGATGAAATAAGTACTTGGTATTTTTTCTATTGTGTCACTAAAGTGGTTCGAAGAACTTCATTGTGTTTATCTTTTTGTTTATTATCATTTTTTTTATTAACTCGAGACAACAACAGCAGTTCAACATAAAAAACAAAAGACATTATTACATTTATAATAAATCCGGCCAAAAGGTTGCCCACAACAAAAATAACAGTAAGCCAAAGACATAATAAGACTTATACAACCCAACCAATTATGTCACCATAAGCATTAAATTATTAATCTTTATAGATGTTATAGATAGAATTATATTATTATAATATTATTTCTCATCCAACCAAGAAGTAGAAATTACTTTGGACTTGACTTTTTCTAAGAAATTATCTTTGCCACCTATGAAAGGATCGATTTCAATATGAAAGTTATTGGATTATTAAAAATGTTTTTTTTACTCAGTTTAGTTATATTGCTGTATCAAAACATTGTGTCAGATTTTGCAACATGAAGCGACAATGGCCTTTATTTATAATTGTCGCCTAGCAGTAGATCCATATTCAAAATAATTTCTGAATAGTTTTATTGATTGTCGCAAAGATGAAGTGGATAAATAAAACAAATGACGAATTTCTCAATCCTTAAGTTTGATTGCATCATATTAAAGTACTACCCTTTTAGAGCTATGAGTAACATGTCATAACGTAGTAACCTTGGGTGTAGGTATTCGTATAGCGATAAGCTAATTCAGAACAAATATAATTGAAAAATCAAATCTTTGCCACATGTTGATAAGACCAGTAAAGCGTATGGTAAGCAAATGTTAATAATCACGTAATAAACGTGATTTGGATAGAATGCTCGGGTATGAAAATAATTAACGGGTCTGCGATGAAAAAGTTTTTTTGAGAATTTTAAAGATAACTTACACATTTTGACATACATAATGCAAATATAAACTTTTTTTTTATTGTAACACGTCACATTTTTTTTATCGGAATATTATATTTATAATAAATTTTTCATACACCCTACAAATGATCCTTGACCATTCAGACAGCAAGAACTTAATGATTTGGTACAGGATCTTGGATTACCCAAAGATGAATTACTCGGTTCACGCTTAAAAGAGAACAATTTATTGGATGCGGAGACGATATTTTAGTGAAATCGAAAAGGTGAACGAGTTTTTTTACAGTATTTCAAGAAAGAAGATTGTTTGGTATTTTGCTGTGATAGCAGCCAAAGCAGAAGAGTTGCGACTTTTTATAGATTCTTCAAAAAGAAGTTTAAAAGCTGTTCTCTTACATATTGGCAAGCACTAATATCTATATCTCACTCAGTTCATCTTAAAGAAAATTATGAAAACTTGAAAACTGTTTTAGAGTACATAAAATACTCCGAACACAAATAGTTCATTTGGGGAAACTTAAAAATCATATGTATGCTTCTTGGTCAACAGCAAGGGTACACAAAATTCGTGTATTATATTTGTGAATGGGAAAGTAGAGCAAGAAATTAACATTCGGAAATATCTGATTGGCGTATTAAACCAAAATTGGAGGTTGGAGTAAAGAGTCATTAACTCGGCTTTGATAGACCCCAAGAGAGTATTGCTTTCACCGCTTTACATCAAACTTGGTCTAATGAAACAGTTTGTTAAGGCATTACCACAAGACGGCAATACTTTCAAGTACCTATGCTCGTGTTTCCCTACCTTGTCTGAGGCTAAGTTGAAAGAAGAAATATTCACGGCACCTGAAATCATAAAACTATTAAAAGTCGTAGAATTTGAAAAAAATATGACAACCTTAGAACAAAATGCTTAGAATGGCTTTAAAAATATGGTTTCAAAATTTTTTGGCAATAACAAAGATCCTTATCATAAAAGTATTGTCACAGAAATGTTAAACGCCTATAAAAACTTGGGTTGTAATATGAGTTTGAAAGTCCATTTTTTGAAATCTCATATTGGTTTTTTCCCAAAAAATTTAGGCGATTACAGTCCATCAAGATATAAAAGAGATGGAAAGAAGATATCAAGGCCGTCGGGACGTTAATATGATGTCGGACTATTGTTGGATGATATGTAGAGATGAAGTAAAAATTCATAAACAAAAAACCAACAAAACGCAGTTTCCTTTCAAAGACAACACATTATTGATTGTTTTTTTTTATTCGTATTATATTTTACTCTTTTTTATTTCATTCAAACTCAATAAAGCTTAACAAAATTGAAAAAAAAGGTTTTTATTATTTTTTAAAATTTTTGTCTTGTAGTTATTTATATGCTAATACTATACCATATAAATCTGTCAATGCTGTTTTATAATGCTGTTTTATATTATTTGTAACGTAATTATACTGAATAAGAACAGTTTATGAAAAAATCTTTGAAAAAAAATAATTTCGCAGACCTGTGTATCGTTCGATAAATGGGCTTCCTAAGCATTTACTTATCACGTACCCTACTACCCCATTCTTAGATTTAAGTAGTATATAAAACGAATATTGTTGAGTTAAAGGGAGATCATTTCATTTCTCC